CTCCGATACAACGAACTATTATTTTACAAACGAAAGCGGGTAAAGGTCTCTGCCCAAGAGCCTTGATTGTTATTTAAATCGTTATGCATTGAATTTATTGTTATAACGAAGCACTTTTCTGGACCTTTTTTTTAATGAGATTTTCCTGCATGTATAGCGTTACCAACCTCGAAATAATCCACGCACCCGCCGTACTTTTATTTTTCCACAGCATGATGATGCCGAACCATTTGATGAACTCGTACGCGGCCCCGGCAGCACAAACCTTCATGTCTCACATGAGCAAGGCCATGGGACATCCGGGACAGGCGAGTCCGTCTTACGCGTACCACGACCGGAACTTGGCCAGGGACGGACGCCGTCAGGAGGAGCCGTCGGAGCACCTGCAGGATCAGAGACGTCATCGGCCGTCGCCGCGTCAGCAGCAGATGCCCGATCGCATTCGATCCCCGAATCGGAAACCCCGTGGATCGCATGGGAAAAAGAGCGACAAAATAGGTGTCAATTTTTTTCTTTTGTGTTTTCGAGGATTGATAGATATTGAGGTTCTCATTTTTTCACATTCTCGAACTGGACGTGTGCTGAGAGCCCCTTCACGCTAAAAAATACGTACAAGAACAATTTAGCATAATTTAACTTTTGGTAGGAAAAATTATGTGCATAACTGATTTATTTTTTCGAGTATCACTGAAAACCTATGTTAAAAGAAGATGAATTTGCTTCCATTTTCAGGTGTGTGTGTGTACCAAAGTACCATGCTCACCTTTTTTCTCAAATTTCAAGAGGAAGAAAGGGGGTGTGCGTCATAGCAAAGATGTGTAGTATTTTCAAAAAGTTTTGGAAGTTCAGGTGTGCATTGTTCTAATGGATACATTTTGGCATTTAAAAACTCAGTTTCATGAAAATAATCTATAATTAGTTCTTTTCAGGTTCAATTCTTGTGTGAAATCAAATTTGGGAGTTCTTGTTTCTGTGACAGTATTAGAGTCACTAAAAATGGTGCGCATGTCTCACTTCTTCAAAAGTTTAGGATGAAAAACTCTGGTGCGTCTCTTTCTCAAGGGCATGTGATACATGTACATGTACATACATGGGCATGAAATGAATCACGTTTCTTGTGCTAGAACACACTGGATTTTAATAGAATCCTTACTGGTGCACTGTTCAGAACTCCAGTATTCAAGGGGTTTTCCAGCCTTTTAGTCGTCGGGGGTCAAATTAATATCAATTAGTGTAATACCCCTCAGCATGAATCTGTGTTTCAGTTTCCCAAGGCTCTCGGAAACTGGGTAGAGATGACCATTATGAAGCCCGTTCTGACAAGAGCTACAGGAACGATGGATCCCGTATTTCACCGGAGTTACCAAGCCAGTATCGCAGGTGCAGCAGTGCCAGACCAAGTGAAGACCAACGTAGGAACACTCGCGAACGCTCACAGTGAAAGCAACGAAAGAAAAGCATGCACACATGTTTTCCTTGTGAAATTTTGGCGACAATTTTTTAGTCGCTTTTATTTCTCACGACTTCGTGCCTTCAGATACCGCATTCGGAAAAGTTCTCCTTTTACAGAGTCGGGTGCTGCGACAAATAGCTTTTTTCCAAGAAGGAAAGAAAAAAAACGAAATTTTGAAAATGAAAGGTTTTCGTAAATTGACCCGCTAAACCGCGCGGAATATTCGTTACTTTTCGAATTCCCTGAGCCAAAAATCCGGGTCCCTCTTTTTCAAATTTTAAATACTAAATTTACTTGAAAACATGAGATGCACCTCTGCGTCCCAAGTTCCCAAAAATTAAATTCAACTTTTCTTTAAATTTGTCCCGATACATTTGTTTACCAGTTTCAAACAGACTCTTGTGCCTCTGAACCGATCATCGTTGTTAGCATGCGTTGAATTCAATTTCTGACACCTTTCAAGATCTTGAATGATTATGCTCCCCATTGAACAAATTGGAACACACCATTTGGGCCACTTTTTCCAGGAAAGTGCATCTTGAATTCAAGTAAATAAGATACCTTTAAAGTACAGTAGAAAAGGCACAATGACAAACAGTAAACCTTTTCCAAAGAAATTTTGAAAAAAAAAAAAGAAACACCACAAGAAAAATTGCCTTCTTGGTCTTGAGACCGTCATCCACCCCATCGCACTCGCAATTGTAAAACAAAAAAGATACTGAAGCCATTCACGACCAATTCGCAACGACATCTACTCGAGTTGGTTCCAGGAAAAAGATCAAGGAGAGGCGACATCTTCCAACTCCTTCGGATCGCCAAAACTCGCTGAAGTTTTGCGAAATCCCGAGTGTCGCTCATTCAACTTGAACTGAAACCCAACGGTTCCCAGTCACACACGCTGTCAACACTTACGCAAAAGGAAAAAAACACACTCGATCTTCCGCTAAAGCTGCCTCATGCTGACGGGCAGCACGAGCTGATCTTATGTTGAACCCTGTTCTTGATCTAACCACGTACTAAAACCGTCGCCCAAAAAGTAAAAATAAACGCGAGGAAATATCAAAGATCACAACGTATTAAATAATACCTGCTCGAAATAGCCGCAATACCATGCTTCTTGTTTTTTCTTCCAGAAGAGTCAAGAAAATTGATCAAAATGTAGCTGAAGCACAACCCAAAGGAGCTTTTTTCTTTCGAAATTGTCTCATTATTCAAAAATCATTTCGTCGGTGTTGAAAGAAACTTAATATCTGTCTTTTCTTAGTCACGAAAGGTGTTGTCAAGAGCTGTAAGTTATTTCTTAGCAGAGCCATCGTTAACAGTGCCAACAATTTCAGCGTATTCAGTTTTCTCAGAAGAAATGATGGTGTTCTTCTCTCCGGGTCCATCAGTGGTGTTCTTGATCAGGTCCAAGTCAGCATAGATCAATGAAGAATGATCCTTCTTTTTATCTCCATCTTCTCCCTCCTAGGAATAATAAGAGCCGAGAGCAAGATTTGATTAAAATCATTTTGACACGTATAAAATAGGCTATGTTGAGATATCAAGCGGTGGCCCCACCAGACAGTCATGAAACCAAAGGATTACTAACAAGAATAAAACATTGTAATGGGAATATTTCCAAGTTTGTGGAACAAAATGAAATTATTTTTTTTCGAATTTTAGGTTCATTCTTCACTGCCAAGAAACTTTCATCTGAGTATAGTATTTTCATTAGTGTCCGCATATCAATGTAAGAACAGATTTTATCAGCAATCTGACAAGTGAACTAAGTTGAATTTGAAGGGACTTCGAGAAAAAATTGACTCTAGGACATTTTTGAGCAGTTGTGTTGGTAAAATACTTTTACTGCAATATTTTTAAATGAACTCATCATTCTTTGATGTACTAGATGCAGGAATTTGCCAAATTCCTTGCAGAAAGCATTGCAATACAAACGTGAATCATTTTCTGGATTAGGTGATTGAAATTAAGCCTCACTTCGATGAGGGCAATGAAAAATGTGACTAAGGGTAGTTAGTCAACAAGTTTTGAGTTCAGGTAGGATAAAAATGCAAGTCACATGTAATGCTTTATCCTACCTTACCGTATAAATAGATTTGAACTTGGTTCTTGTCACTTGCAGTCAAAATTTAAATTTTCAACTTTTTAAATTGCTAGTTCCGTCTGCTTAAACTAACACCAAATGAAACTCACAGTTTTGGCAGCATCCAATCCAGCCTCAACATCAGTGGTCTTCACAGCATCCAAAGGGACCTTTTCATGCTTGTTCCCATCTTTATCCTTGGACTTCTTACTTCCAGGCAAAGGGAGAAACTTGGAAAGCCTGGTCTTCAGTCCAGCAGCAGCACTGGTTGCTGTGGTTGTGGTAGTCGTGGTCCCATTTCCATTGGTGGATACCTTGGTGTCCACAGGAGCCTCTTTCTGACCATTGGATGCATTCACAGCCTCAGCACTCTCCGCATCACTATGAAAAGCATACATGTATTTTAATTTTCTGTCGGATGTAAAAAATTATATTCAATATAGCACAAACATTCCCATCCAAATTTTCAGATGGACTCCGTAAAATGATTTCATCTAGAGCAATATCCTATGTTGAACAAAATGCTCAAGTCCATAACTTGACTTCACTCAATTAACAGTTTTGAATATGCACAAGCACTTCATTTAAAATTATACTTACAATTGATGGTTTCACAGAAATTTCGAAAAAACGCTTATGTCAGGGTCTAACAATACTTAGCATTTCATTAGTTTTTGAAATTTAGAGAAGTATGGTCAAACGCTTTGAAAAATCTTTCCTAATGATGAATTGGAAACCCCGTTAAAGAGCCATCTGCCAAAATGATAAACAACTCAAATGTGCTCCTGCCAATTAATTTTGTCTTTTAATAGCCTGCCATAAAGATCAAGTTTCTGTGAGAGGTTTTCAATAAAAAAAACAACAAAAATATGACATAATTTACTTTTTGGGGAACATTAGCTAGATATAATTTATGCATCTCAGGGTTATTTTGATTGTTTTTTAGAAGGAGAATTTTAGATGGAGACTCTAAAAATTTCCTATCAAAATTTTTTTTTTCAATATTAATTCAGCTTTTTTGGTCGATTGCCAATCCCCTTCAAATCTTGTGGCGGCTTATCGAGATTTGAATGTACAGTAATTAAATGGTTCCCAAAATGCAAAATACCTTTCAAACAAGCTGAGCGAGTTTATAGAGTATTTAAAATATTCACATTCATGGATATGTTCGCACATAGGCCTTTCACTAGTTTTCAAGCAGGAACATGCATATAAATTTTCTCTCAAGACTCGAAAAGGGGGAGAAAGTTTATATTTTCCGAAATGAAGTGATTCGAATGTTCTTAATAATTGTGGGTTAGAACCAAATCCAATAATATTATAATTCTTGTACTCACGTTTCAACCTTCTTGGCACCGGCATCTGCATCATCCCAACAGCGACAGAAACATGAAATAGACATGAAAGCCAACAGTGAGTCAAACAGAGCACAAGTTCCCCCGACAAGGACACTCCCGAAGACCCCATTTTTTCTAAGCGGAGAATCGCATGTTAGTTTTCGTGGATATCTACACCAACATAATTCTTACAATACCAACAACAACCCACATGCATCAAAACGCAAATGAAAACAAAAGCCAGTGCTTTTGAATAAAAAAAAACCAGCGGGACTCGTTTTCTTTTCTTCTGTCGATAACCTCTCACAGTCTCCCCACCACGAAAATTCGAAAGGTCGGAAAATATTCTCTTAGAATTGTACAAAAACGAACAGACCCTTAAAATGAGTAAATATAACACGAAGTATGATGGGGAAGGTAGAAAAAAAAAACTACGCAACACTTTCCGATATTTGGGGACGCACGGAAAAAAATCGAGGACGACGAGAACTACAAAATCGCCTCAGGTCTTCTTTTTCGTGGTTGGAAAGCCTAAAATCCCCCGACCCCCCCAAAAAACCCTAAACACACAACTCAAACTCGTAAAAAATCACAGAACCCTTCACTTCAACCTTCTCGTCCCAAGGGTTCGGGAAACTAAAACCTTGAAACTTTCGTTGCTAGATTTAACAGATGAAACATCTCAAATCAAAACACACAAAAAAAATAATAATTCAGAATGCCATGAATGAAGAGCAAAAATTCGAGAAAAAAAACAGAATATCCGTAGAAGACGAAAAGAGATCGAAAGGCAGTTTCTTTCTCCTGTCAGAAGCTCAAGTCTTTCAAACAAAAATGTCCTTTCTTCCTTCTAACGTCGTGAAATGATTTCTGACGCAAATTTTCAGGCCACTTACACTGAAATTCGTCACGAAGAAAGATATTTCAATGATTTCAGTTTTCTTTCCCATCGCATCGAAGAGCTTTTCCAGAATTCATTCAGTTTGTACTCAGGGAAGACTTCAACTCTCCACATCTTTAACTTACTACGTTTGTTGCCATTCTAAATACGTGATTAACCACAAATACATATGACCATGTTCGACATCAAAAAATCCGATAAGGGCAAAGAGCAGTTTCTCGATCGTTCACCATCTACTAGAAATATCTAAAAAATAAAACAAAAAACTTTCTCATTTATAGTCCATAGTCATAAAATTAAAGTCTGTGCATTTAGATCGAGCAGAATTCTGGAAAAAGGAAAAGTCTAGCAAAATGATCAAATCGGCTTTTCGAAAGTGAATTTTCAGCATAAAATAATTGGCGATAATTGCTCTAAAATATGCTCATTCAGGAGGGAGTGAACGATCTTGTGCAACGGTTTACGTTTCAAGAGCATCACATTGCTCAGAAAAACTTGAGTCATAAGAAAGGAAATTCAAACCTTGACACAAAAAAATTTAAAATATTAGGAGATTTTCTAAAAATCGTGGAACCATCTCGCACAAAAGGTTCACCAGTCAACAACCAAAAAAAAAAAAAAAATCAAGGAGCTCAACACTTTTTTCCAGAGGAAACGGAAGAAAGAAAATATGTATCAGGCTTAAACGGCGGTGTTTTTCCCGGGAACGGCGGCGTTTCCATTCTTGGCGGCGGCGCCGTTTCCGTTCTGATGTTCTTCCTTTTTGCCGCCGTCGACAGGCTTCACGTCGGTCTTGGCGTCGACGGGGGCGGTCTTCTCCTTTTCGTCTTCGTCAGCGACCGCCGCGGGGTTTTCCGCCGCCTTCGGCTCAGCCGCCTCCACGTCCAACTTTTTGGCGCCCTTTTTCGTCTTCTGGCCTATCTTGTCCATAACGCCACCTTCTGCAAGTGACGAGCGTTTGGAGGAGAGAGAAAAAACGCAGGGAGTGCCAAATGAATTTTTTGCGACGAATTTAAAATATTTTTGTCTCTACCTTTTTTTCTCGAACGATTGTTTCACGAAAATCACACAAAAACTTTTTGATTTGCAAAGCGTTTCTTTGCTGGTCAAGAAGAAAAATAAAAGCACCAGAAGCCGAGGGATTTCCGCCAATTTTCCCCAAGAATGAGCAAAAAAAAAAGAGGGGAGAAAGAGAGGAAGAGGAAAAAGTAAAACCCTCAGCCCGTTTTCCGAAATTGCAATCATTTTAGCACGCAAAAAATTTGCCGGAGACACGGTTTCCATTTATTTTGTTTATTCCTGCGCAAAGATTCGACACAAATATCTGCCAAAAAAACATGCAGCGTTTTTGCTCAAATTTCGTTCATGCCACGAACAAGTCGGGACTTTTTTCCGCATGAAAAACAATCGTTCGATTTCATTTTTTTTTTAACTGAATGTCGCAAAATTATCATTACTTTTAAAACTCCCTTCGTTTTCTCGCCAATTGCAGGAGGAAGCGAGATCGCTCTATTTTGTTTCTTCCAAGCGAAACAAATTTGCACACGAAAAAAATACCGCGCAGTTTCTTCAATCCTCCTCAAAGAAGGGAGCATGATGAAAAAAACACTCGTAAAAAAATTCTGTGGCGATTAGATATTTCAAACAAAAAATAACAGACACACAAACGTGCACATGCAGAGAATAGAACATGCCATGCAAAAATACACATATACGTACAAAGCCATGCGACATACATGAAACATAAAAAGTTCACTAAACCACTGTTTTGCAAAACTCCCGCACACTTTTATTAATCCACCGCATTCCTCAAGAAGTGTACTGTATAGTAAAAGGATGAGTTTTCCTAGATTCTGAACAACAACAAAAAAAAGACCAGATCTGTTTTCGAAATTATCAGTTGAATGAAAATATCCGAAGAAGAAAAATATAAGATACGACCATTTTCCTCCTAATGAGAAGTGCAAAATCAGTCCTTTTCTTTTTTGAAATGGTATGAAAATTGAGTTTCCATTCCAATTTTTGTTTTCGGATGGCACTCGGATTAAAAAGCTTCTCGTTCTTTTCACTTCAACGACCGACGTTCTGAATAAAGTTAAAGGCACAG